TAATGTTCTAATAAGAGAAAGGGTCGTTTTTTTTATTATTGTAGTTCATGTAACTCCTCACCATCATCATCATTTTAGTGAGTAAACGTTTATTACTGCAAATGTTATGTATATTATTGTTGAAATTCCCGTTCCCGTTCCAGCCACACGACTCGTTGGGTTACAATATCATAAAGCAAATATAGAGTATTTCCAGGAATTTGTTGGAAGTGATAATGAAAAACGTATTAATATTCATAACTTATAGTCACTTAAATATCTAGAATATTTTAACCTCGATTTCCATATGTGAAATTAAAAAAAAAAAAATTATTCTTTAAGGTCGCATCAACATCTAGGACATTAGTGACCATTAGTGGTACTAACGTTATGAAGAACAGTGAACCAGATGAAATATGTGGTGATGGGGGTTGTAAGGACGAACACAAATATAACAAAAATAAATAAATATTTTTTCAAGTTATGGGCTTCATTCGCTTCAATTTGTTTGAAAATGTAACTTTTTATTACTTACTTCAGATAGCTTTTCAACAACTAAGGCCATAGGCGACAACCGTAAAAACTAAGCCGTAACGGTATACGGACACACAATCATCCATGCCCCGGGCGTGATTCAAATCCTTCAGCCCTAGCGACCTCGGTTATCCAATATAATTTTTGTTAAAGCTTACAAACTTTTTAAATATTAAAGTCTTACATCTATTAAGAAATCGTTCAGCGATGACCACCGTGTCGTTTTAATATAAGATAATTTCGTTTTTTATCTAAATCCATCACTGTCAATAATACTATGTTCTATCGTTTAGTGTTACGACCAGAGAAAACATTAATTCATTTCAGCAAACAGCCAGTCCAATATCTGAATATTTAATACCCCATACATGGCATCATTAAGCACAAGATTTAAATTGAGCAGTACCATGCATTTTCAAATTTATTATAATTTTTTTCTGAACACCATTGTAAATTCCACTCACAACTGCTCACCATCATATCCTTGACCTCCACATTTAGATAAATCAATCCATTGTTCCTTTATGCAATCAACATCAAAATACAAGTGCTAATCAGATCTTCGACATTCCCAAATCCTATGAAAAATTCATTAATTCTAATAGGTTTGGCGGATTAATTTTTCCTGATGGTTACATATCCTAAAATTTAACTTAGTTGGTCAAATTTGAGTAAATTTTGTGTTGTCCATTACCATAGAAAAAACGGAGCTTCAATTATTTCTTCCATGATTTCATCAGACTGTGCTTGGTAAAATATAAATGATTTATTGTTTCGCTTTGAATTTGGAAACTTAAATAGCCCGGGTACCCAGATATAGTCCTGTCGTCCATACGGAACTTTCGCCACTGACGATTAATAATAATAATAATAAGGTAAAGTGGAGTGTTAATAGCTGTGTAATTAAATATACACTCCATTCAATCATCCTGCTTCAACATCAAAAAGATAAGCTTAATATTGTCATTTTCCTAGGGGGTTTCCTCATCTGGGGGGCTTTAGTCATACCACATTTCTAGCTTTACATATTTGGTAGTTTGAACCTTTAAAAAGGTTTTTAAAAAATGACACAACTTTTGAAGTATTGGAATAATTTGACGAGGAGAAAGACCTAATTTTTCCAAATAAAATTTTTGATTTTTTTTACAAGACCAGTTGCTGTAACAATTGGTGTAATGTCCACACATTCTCTTTCAAGTTTGTTTCTTAACATCGTTCTGAAAGGGTAATGAGTTTTGAAATGTTATCTTTTCCCAAAGATTATGTTGATGTTAAGATCGCAATATTAAGAATTAAATAAAATAAAGAAAATACACAAAAAAAAAAGTGATTGCAGCTATTTTTGTTGGCTGTACTTTCCCACTATGGCTACTACCCACTCTAGAACATGATGTTTGAGAACATAATCTTTATGCCCCCAGAAGAGGAGTTCTTAAGAATGTTCTTTGTGTATTATCATGAAGCTTAATGAAGAAAATTTGTACATTTTGAAGCTCCTATACTAGTTCACACCATTCCATTCTGTTAGATTTTTATTACAATATAATTTTGTAGTTTAAATTATTCTACAAAAGGTGATTATCCCATTAGCATTATTGTACATGTTATAAATAATAAAATTCTCCTGGATGGTGGGAGGACTCACAAAGAATCTTTCCTTTCCCAGTGAAGAAAGAAAGAAAAAAATATGTCCCTACTTGCACCAACATATTAATCAGCATAGTATCCAATTCTGACCAAATGTCAAGAAATTTCACTTAGCTATGCTCTGAAACAACAGTTAAAATACGCAAAATCACAGTAATCCGCTCCTTAATCATAACCAATAAGGATTGATATTATGCCGGAATGAAAGTAATTGTGGTAATTCACTGTGTTTCACTGCTGTAGAAGCCTTGGAACACCCTAAAACCTTCTATTCCCCCTCCCAGGATGTACTCAAAGGATCTGTATAAAAACAATGGTAATTCATTTCCTTTATTAAAAGGAATCAAATAAGTTACTGATCAACTATGTAAGCTACAAAAAACACTTTTTAATTGACTAAAAACGAAAAAGGGGAAATTTTGTGGGTGGAAGGGCTCTCACCGTAAGTGATAGAGGTTACTGAAATATTATATAGGGATCATGTTCTGAATTACGGGGTTTAAATTCCCATCATTGAATTGAGCTGCAACCACCAATTTTATGGACCAAAATGTCCCACTGGTAATAAGGTGAAGTAAAAAGCATGCAGCAAGAAACAGAAGTACAAGAAACAATTTCTAAAATTATTAGAAAGTGAAGAACACATCCCTGAAAAACAAATTTTCTAGAACATCACAAATAATATTTCGAAATAACCAATTGAGAGAAAAATGAATGTTTTAAGAGATTTATAAATTAAAAAAAAAAAAAAATTGGATGTAAAAAAACATTCAAATAAATTATTATCATGCAATAAATTTATTTGAGTTTTTATTTATATTTTAGTAGCCTGTATACCATGCATATTATACTACGCTACTTGCAGAGGACAGGACAGGTTTAGAGAAATTATTAGAAAGAGTGACAAAAGAAAATCAGAAAGCAGGACGCAAGCTGAATTTAAAAAGATCACAGTAATGACAACCGGACACAAAGAGAAATTTCAGATAAATAATGAAGAAATAAAAACTACAATCAAGGTAAAATTTCTGGGAGTAATTATATGTACTGAAGAATTTAAAAGAATTATTTTGGGAAAGGCAGCCATGAGAAAATATAACTAATTCATTACTCAGGCTTAGCAATTCCAACTAAAACTAAACTAATTAAAGCAATGTTTTTTCCAGTAGTTTTATATGGCTCCAAAAGCTGGACTTCCAAGATCTATAGACAAAAGAAAGATAGATGCATTTGAAATGTGGTGCTGGTGGAAAATAATGAAAACTCATTGGATTCACAGAAAAACAAACCTGTCTATATTGGAAGAAGTGAACCCAGGTTTCTCTTTAGAAGCCACAGCAGTCAGACAATTTATCATTCTTTGGACACATTGCAAGAAGAACGGAATCATGGAAAAGGACATTATGCTAAGAACAATGGATGGAACTAGGAGACGGATGGGAGGAGAGAATAAGATGGGATGAAGAAATCAATAATTCAACCAACTTGACTAGAAGCAATGAGAATGATGCTAGATAGAACAGATTGGAGGAATCTTACAAAGGAAGTGACAACACAAAGGAAGAAAAACTTTGAGGAAAAGGCTGGCAAACAACTGTTATGAGTATCCCTAGGTATCACCAAGGATTGCATGCGATCCACATATTACACACACACCAAGCAAATGAAGTGACACATAACACACCACAAGCCCCGTTACATGTCTTATTGCCCATGTGCCTAATTTGAAGCTAAAATAACAAACTTCCCAATTAAAAAAACTCTCAAAACAATATAATGATCAATGTATTTCACTGCTGAGAAGCAGACATAAAGAACTTAAGTGTAACATGGGAGCGATTACCATGGGGGTCAGTTATCAGTAAAATGTGGATTAATTTGTAATCTAATTACCCTGAAAGGAAACTAAAAATTTCAATACTTTATCAGCATATCATACTGAACAACTAGCAATGCCATACTTAAATATATAGGAGAATTATGAGCCATTGTGAATTAACTTCTCTCACTGCTCTTTATACTACAAAGCTCTTTGATACTACTTTCACTGTCAGTGGCAGTTTTGGAATGTTTAAAAAAATAAAAACAAATAAAACAGCTATTTCTGAAATAATTACTCTGCTTAATTAATTATATAATTTCAATGGCCTAAGCAACTAATTTATTATAACAAAATTCTTAAAAGGTTCCAGACCAAGGCCATTGTTAGATCTGAACATTTGGAATAATGTAATGGAAAAGTAAACTAGTGAAGAAAGATCAATACAAATATCATTTGTAGCAAATCATTCTTTGCCACCACAATTGCACAATCAATTCAATCTATTCAATATCAATTCTCCAGCAAGTAAATAATCCTTGAATAAAATTCAGACATAAGATACAGAAATTATCTTGCAACACAGATACTCATTACTGACCTTGCTAATCAAATGAAAACATTTTACTCACTCCATATGAAAAAATTACTTAATATATCAAAGATCTTATCTCACTCCAATGAGCTATTGTCAGATAAATTAGTAAAATATGTTTAATCATAAATACAATTCAATTGTAAAATTATAATATGCACTGGGAGTGAAACAATTACCTGATGAGTATTTTCTGTAAGCAGAATATCGGTATTGCTATCCTTGTAAGTTTTCTAAAACCATCATCTTAGACATCACTTTCACTACATCATGCTGGTTACTTTTAGTAATTATTAACAAAGAACTCCAAATAGTATTTAATGAATTTATTTCTTTAACTAGAAAAAATTAACAATTCACAACACTTCAATAGGTTGATCATAAATATTGATAAATATCAACTGATAAAGGGCCAAATTGTAGTTTGAACAATACATAGAAAAACTGCAATTCTACGCAATGAAACATTTTTCCATGCAAACCAACCATAAGACATTCCAAGTCTCAATACCTATGAATCGCATGGGCACATTAAGGATATGAACAGCTTTTTCATCTTCACTATCAAAGATGCGTTTCTGCCACACAGTATTTGTAAATGCACACAAAACACGTTATTTCAACACACATGGAGAGAAAATTATTTCACCACTAGTGTGATCAGGACAGTTGCCGCAGGACAAAAAAAAATCCAATAATTTCCAAAAAATATTTTACCTGTAATGAGGAATACGACTTATTTCCTAATTTATCAGGGACTCCCCCTCCCCCATACATATACATACTGTTAGAAGTTACATAACTTGCAGGGCAAAAGGACAACACTTGTTGCAGAGTAAGACTTCCCATCATGTCTGAATATCTGATTTGAACAAAATTTCAAGTCTTACACTTTAAGATTACAACAGTAAAAAAAGTCACAAAAACAAATCACAAAAGTGTTTGTATCATCCATAATGAGCCAGTTAAAATGTGCCTAAGTTAAGAGGGGATTTATCCATCAGAAATTATCAGACCAATGGCAACTCTCACTTTTGGAAATCAAACAACAAAAGTATTTCATTTATTTCATTATTTACCAGACACACTTAACATTATTTGTAATTATAATATCATTCCTTTGTAGCTATTTTACACATAGCCACATTTATTTCAATTTAGGCAAAACCTTCATTCTTTTCACAATACAAGGAAAACTTTTCAAGGTTTGCAACAAAAAGAATAAAAAAGCAACTGATTAACAAACAGTAACTGAAAGAAGCTGTATCACTGTATGCAATACATTAAAAAATTGCACTCACAGTAAATGGTGTTCATGGAAATTAAAACAATATATAATTCTAAATTACACAATACACATTTCAAAATTTGTCATTTAAATTTTGTACATATGCCTTCAAATGATAATTACAAGCATGCAATACACCTATTCCTAGCATCAACTCCCAAAAATAAACTATATACAACTGCCATTCAGAATGATACACACACAATATGTTACAGTTATGATATTAACAGGTATAAAGACTTTTTTTAAATCAAACACAGACTGTTCAAATCAATCTGTGTACTGGTGTAATTAAATATGTATACACAAAATACAGATTTACCAATACGTATATACATATATTCACAAACCATACATAATGCAGAAATAAAACATAACCGAAGTATTTGTAGAGGGAGGGTTTTTTATTACTATTTTATGAAAGAAAGGAAGTTTTACAAAACAGCAGTACTGTTTTTAAACTACAGACAGCTCTGTAACATGACATAAGGAATATAGCTCAAATTACACTAATTCATCATTTACTGCAAGTGCATTTAATGTTTACGAAAATTAATTAAAATTATTATTTTAGTTTATCAAATTTCAATTTTAAGTTTTTGAATAGAAAAGCATTAAAAAAGTCTTATAAAACAAAAATACACTAGTAGTTTATGGATGTAATAGTGGTGGTGATAGTTTTAGTGGTAGAAGTGGTGGCGGTGGTGACAGTTGTGGTTGTACCTGTCGCAAGTCTCTCAGCATTTGAAGAAGTTTAAAAATAATCAAATAGTACGTTTAAAGGTCCAAAAATATTCGTTTGTTGGTTCAGGAAAAAAGCAAGCATTTTTAAAGAAATACTAGCTACCAAACAAAATACTTTTATAACTATGTTATTTTTAACATTTAACATCAGTCTCACACAATGAGTGTTTCAAAGGTATTAAGTTCTATTAAAAACGTACAATATATTTTCACACAAGAGCTTGTTTCAAACCCAGCAATCTCTTACCTGAAATTTAGTTATTGGTACTATGTCTATCTTGATACTGGAACCTACCCTAGTAACACAGCATGACGTTGCACTGTTATTGTATTTATATACAACAATTTTAAACCCATGACCTTTACGAATTAATGAAGTAGGGACAATCAGAGCTGTCTTAGATAAAAACTAAAAATGGAATGCTCTGCTCATGGTGGTCCAGGACCTGTTCGTTTGTATTCTTTCTTTCCAAATGTTCTAGTTTTCTGCTGTGTTAAGTTTTCCTCAATTTTCCAATCAGTTTATGAAGAATTATTACATTCAAGATTATGTGAGGGTAGTATTAAAAAACTGAGAGGACTGCTACAGTAGTTGTGGAGGTGATGGCGATAGCAGTACTGGTTATGGCAGTAGTAGTAGCGGTAGTTGTGGTGGTCATGGTCATAGTGGTGATGGTAATAATAATAATAACAATAATAATAATAGGAGGTGTAAAGCAATGGTAGTAAAGAAGCTCTTGTATTGGTGATGCTAGTTATGACAGGTGGTGGTGGTGGTGGTGGTGGTGGTGAGGGGGGGGGTGGTAGCTGTAGTAATACCACCAACAGGCCAGAAACACAAAATAAACTAAGAAAGAGATCTTTAATAATGTACTTCTACGTCAACCCACATTTATTATTTGAATATATGTCCGAATTAGATTAATTTATTATTTAATTAATATTAATATTCACTGAACAATACTGCCCTAGTGGGAAATAATTTGTGACATCTACAAGGCAGAGCATGACTGAAAATTCACACAAGCATCATCTTTGTTCATCATCGGTCAACAATAATGAACTATCACTTCCTAGTGCAGTACAGTTTGCAAAATGATTCTCTCAGAAAAGTCCTAATAATACTATTAATTTGCTAGCATATTTCAAATAAACATCAAAAGTACGAATGTAATTTTTTAAAAGAATAGGTATCTGGTATCATTAATTCATATTTCTGTACACAATTTTAATCGTAAAAAATTATTATATTTCTTTTAGAAATAAGATAATTTGCCCAGCAATTCTATTTTTTTTTACATAAATCTGAAAGAAGTTAACAGGTGCCTTAAAACAAGCACAAAAAATAAGAAATGCCACAGATCCTACTCGACTTCCATTATTGCAATCTACGTACGTTTTCTACAATTAAATGAACATTACATTGCCGGTACAAAATAATTCTCACTATGATAACATAATCTTCAACACTTCAGAGTAAAATAATTGAAGTATAGTTTCCACATATACAATATCTGGCCTAATAATTTGCAATAAGCAAAAGACCATAAAAGATGTAACATGCTCATTTATGTAGTATCAATAAAGCAAAGATCACAAACATACAAAAAGAAACACATCCCAATTTTTCTCAATCACACATGTCAAACAACTTCTCATAAAAAATTGTGAAGAAAAGAATTACATCAAAATACAGAGCAACACAATGTTTCTTCATACGAGTAACAGCCTCTGATCTTTTTTCTTCATTTTTCAACTTTATACCCATCCTTCTTATTCACTTGATGGCTAAGATATATATCCCCATGTTAAAACCTTTGGTACAGTTTCTTCACAGGTGTGATCTCAACCACACAGCATACATTGGGTTGCAGAGAAGAGCCTGATGCATCTTCATGCCCCACCTGTAACATTTTTCATGGTTCAGTCATGTGAATTCATATTTCAAAATATCAATGATACACGCAATGCATAAGCATTTTAACTACATACTAATAAATTCGTACTGATAATTATTATGTATAACCACTTCCATACATTGCAGTTTCTTGACAAATGCTTATTACATTTCATTAACAACGATATGAGAATAAAAAGTTTCTCATATCACAAATTTGTCAAAACAGTTATTTGACTAATCAGATAGTAGAGACAGAGTTTTACTTCATAGAATGAAATGTATTAAAAATTTTATATTTCTTTAGGAAATAATGATAGTGAAAAACCATTCCAACAAGGACATTTTTAATTCCAAATAAAAAATTATATTGCTACTTACGAGTGTACCACACTTATCATATTTAGATTTCAATCAATCATTATGTGACTTTGCATGACATGTGACAAGAATGGAAATACTTATGATATACCCTTTGGGTGTTGATATAAACAATAATACATATATAGGAAAAATATTACAAGCAATGATCTTGTCTAATGATATTAGTATAATAACTGTATCTTGATGCCACTATTACTCCTGTGGGCTATATGGCAATTCACTGAGAAGACTGTGACAGTGTAAGAAAATAAGGGGTCAGAAAGCAAGTGTTGCTATATGAATATACTTCAAGGAAGATGGGAATGACAAATGAAAGAACTTGATTACATTTTAGTTTACCGAACACCATAATAATTAGTTTTGATTTGTAACAGCTTCTTTTATAGGCATAAATTAACTCTGTAATATGACCACACAAGTTTTGCCAAGTAAAAAGGTATACTGTGGTGTGTATTGACCGAAACAAACCGGGAGATTCAGTAATGACATTACAAGTGCTGTGTTCAAAATACTTTCAAGAGTGCTAAATCAACATGAATCTATGAAACAGATTATCACAAGGAGTGACTGCTGTATGCCATAAAATAAAACCAAATGATCTCATTAGCAATGCAATTAATTAGCCAATATTGAAATCTTGAAGGTGTTACAATGAAGTATTCCACACCAAGTCACTCTTTTAAACATGACTAACAACATACATTCCATACACAGAAAAAGATATGCGCTTTTATGAACTAGTTACTAATTTCATTTGTTATGTTACTAAAGTGTGTTAATGTAAGTATTTTACATTACACCTAAAGACTAAGAACTTTCATATTACAAGTAAACATTGTGGGAGGATGAGCATGGATTTCAAAGTTTACTGCCGAGGAGATAGATGTAGCATGAGGCACCTGGCTGAGGAGGACTTTTGAACAACAGTGGGGTAGTGAAACGGTGTGTGCTGTGTGTGCATAGTAAAACCATGAGAAAAAGTAGAAGTTAACAGTTGATGAAGATAGTTCTCATTCTGTGTTAATGCCATTTTATAACAAAATTCCAATAAACATTGTATTCATTCATTTAAGTGAAGTGTGATTAATACCATTTCTCCAGAATATGAACTTTAAGAGACTAACTTCATCACAGGTCAAATTATTAAAATTTGAAAAAAATTGAATGTTCAGTATTGGTTACAATTTAAAATTTGAATATAAATTTGTTTTTGAAACCAAGTCATCCGAAGACTAGAAATAACCATACATGTTGTAATATTCTTGCAATAAAAAATTATTCTTCAAAATATAAAATGAAAACAGAGGAAGTTGCAGACATATTTCATATTAACATATATGCCTCTAGAATATAAAATGAATTATGAAGAATTGATTAAAAACTGTACTTGAAAATTGAGGAAAAATCATAGGCCCAATATGTCCTAGTAATGATTTAGCGGCTAGAATTTTTTTGTTAATAATAAACCGTCTATATGGCATTATTATTATTATTATTATTATTATTATTATTATTATTATTATTATTATTAACCTCCTTCCATTTTCTCTATTTTGATATCTTTCACAGGAGTAGGTCGTATCTGCGAGTACCTCACATGAAACCACTTTCTTGGAATAAAAAGATTCCTTCTTGTATGGGAAGGTGAATTAGATGCATATGTCATATGAAAATTTTACCTAAAACCTTCTTCCTCAAAGGAACATGTCCCCAAAGTTAGTGAACTTCACATTATAATGACAAATATTTAATGTAAACTTCAAGTGATTTCCATGTACAATAATTATTACTGCAAATGGAACATTTCCATTCTCAAATCATGATTTGTAGAAAATTGGTTGTGATAGAGAGAGAGAAAGAGAGAGAGAGAGAGAAAGAGAGAGAGAGAGAGAGAGAG